TGTTTAAATCTTTGTAATCTACGCACAGTCTTAATTTATTTCCCTTTTTAGGCACTACCACTACATTAGCTAACCAACCCGGGTACTTAACTTCCCAAATGAAACATATTTTAAGGAATTTGGATACCTCGTCTTTTATGAATACATGCTTGACTTCGGACTGAGGCCTCCTCTTCTGTTTAATCGGGTGGAACTTCAGATCCAAACTCAGCTTGTGAGTAGTTATTTCTAGAGGGATCCCAATCATATCAGGATGGGACCAAGAGAAACAATCTATGTTAGCTATAAGGAATTCAATGAGTTCTTTCCTAAGCTCGGGAGTTAACCCCGTGCCCAGGTATACTTTTCGATCGGACAAATGTTCGATCAATATGACTTGTTCCAATTCCTCGACCATTGACTTGGTGGCATCAGAATCGTCAGGGGCGATGAACCACTTGGGAACTCTGTAATCATCATCATCTCCTGCTTATTACTTCTCCGGTTCGGTTGGGACCGGTGTCGGTGATTGCTATTTAGTTTCTTCCTTCCTAACCAACTCCGAGTTCTTTGATGTCGAAAGGGCGGATATTGAGATCACCTCATCGACCGCGAACATTTCTTTTGTGGCCGACTGTTCTCCGTAAGCTATTTTGATCCCTCCCGGTGTGGGGAACCTAAATGCCTGGTGCAGTGTAGAGAGTATTGCCCTCATGTTGTGAATCCATGGCCCTCCAAATATAGTGTTATACCTCATATCCCCCTCGATGACGTAGAGCTTCATTTCCTGAATGGTTCCGACGGTGTTCACCGACAGGGTTATCTCCCCTTTAGTAGTTTCACATGCCATGTTGAATCCGTTTAAGACCCGGACTGTGGGCACTATTTGGTCTTGTAGACCCAGCTACTCTACGACCCTCGATCTGATGATATTGCCGAGCTACCTGGATCAATCAAGACATGCTTAACTCGGGATTTATTTATGAGTACATAAATTACCAGGGCATCGTTATGCGGTTGCACTATACCTTTAATGTCTTCATCGTTGAAAGAGAAGGTCCCCTCCGATATGTAATCTCGGGTTCGATTTTCCCTTGTAATGGATACCTTAGTGCGCTTCAGCATTGGCCCCTGAGGAATATCGACTCCACCGATGATCATGTTGATGACGTGCTGAGGTTCCTCTTGCTCGACCTACTTACTGGAGTGAAGTGATTTTTGGCTCGATCACTCAGAAACTCTCGGAGGTGTCCGTTATTGAATAACCGGGTCATTTCTTCCCTTAGTTGTCGGCAGTCTTCGGTCATGTGACCGTGGGTGCCATGGTACTTACACATCATGTTAGGGTCTCTTTGGGCAGGATCGGACTGCAATGGCCGAGGCCATTTGATAGCTTTGATGCGCCCGATGGTTGATACGATGATGGCAGTATCGACGCAGAAGTTGTACTCCGATAACCTCGGTGCCTCCCTGGTCCAGATTGCCATGTCGAAACTGTTTTTGCTTATGAGTCCCTAGTTATTATGACCTCGATCGCTTCTTTTTTCATTCATCGCTGGGTTATGTCCGGATCCACTGCCCCTTCGATCTCCGCGATATGGTTGGTACCGATCTCTGCTCGGTCTTCGTTCATGATCGACGACTCTTTTAGACCTGTCATTAGTTCTGATGGGATACATGGACCAGAGGGGCCCCCGAGCTGATCCTCTACTCTGATTTTCGATTGGTACCTGTTATGGACGTCAACCCCAAGTTACCACCGGGTACTCTATCAAATTCTGTTTTAGTTGCCATGAAGTCAAAGAGCTTTGGGGGTTGAGTCCTTGAGTGAATGCTTGAACAGTGCAATCGTCCGCAACCGGGGGCAAATCCATCCTTTCGTTATCTCTTTGCTTGACTTTAAAGAGGTTTGATTTTTTGGTCTCGACTTTGATGGCCCCGACATGAGCTTTTATGAAGGCATCCGCAAGCATGGCAAACGAATCAATAGAATTAGGGGACAGGTTGTGATACCATATCATTGCTCCTTTAGACAAGGTTTCCTCGAACTTTTTCAGGAGAACCAACTCAATTTCATCATCTTCCAAGTCATTTCCCTTGATGGCACACGTGTATGAGGTCACATGTTCATTCGGATCCGTGGTCCCGTTATACTTTGGAATTTCGGGCATACGGAACTTCTTCGGGATCGATTTCGGAGCTGCGCTCGGAGGGAAAAGTTTTTGGACGAACTTCTTGGAATCCAAGCCTTTCAATATCGGGGGTGCTCTTGGGATTTGATCAACCTTGGAGTTATAGGTCTTCACTTTTTTTGTCGTTGGCTTCGATTTTCTTTTCTCCTAATTCCACCCGTTTTGTCACTTCCTCAAGCATATTTATTATATCGGGGTTAGTCCGGGTTTTGTCACCCAAACTTTCTGTGGTCGGTTCATTTATGCGAGTGTTTTCCCGTGATGGTTCGGGCTCAACTCTGATGGGAGCGCGACTTTGGTTCTGCAATTGGGCTATCGCTGCCTGTTGAGCTTGTAACATTTCGAAGATCACCCGCAAATTGATCCCATCACCTTCGCTGTCGTGTGTACTCCGGGACACCGATTGGGCTCCCCCGCGAACGTAATTTTCGGGGTCGGTAGGCAAGTTTGCGTCGATAGCTACATGTGAGTTAGCATCGATCGGGTCCGCAACTGGAACTCCGTTGGGTTCAATAGGGGCACCTCGTTATTGGGCACTATATTGTTGTTATCGCCATGGTGGCCAGACTCAGCATCAACGTTCAAATAAACAGATTGAGAGTTCGACATTTTTAGTTTGACATGAAATTAAAGTCTCAAAGAACAAGTGTAAAATATAGTGTGTTATGGAAATTTGTATCAAATTACCACTATTATCCCTAACCCCAGGGTGGGCGCCAAACTGTTTACCCTTAAAAACGGATAACAATTGAATTTATAAGTGGTTTTAAGGATATGTGGATTAATTCAATACAAGTGATTAATAGTGTTATATTAAACAAATAAAAAATGTAATAGATGACCAAACCAATGATAAGGGTGATTCCAAGCTCGGTTGATGGCTCGATGAAGAACCTGTCCTCAATTCCAAGCTTATACTTATGAAGAACTTAAGAACAAGGATAAGAACTTTGAACAACGAAGAGAATTAAAATAAATTATCTTGATATGCGCGTTACAATGTGTTTAATGAACAATTAGTTTCCCCTTAATATAGTAGGGGAGTTTCACCCTAAGTACAATTCTAAAAAAGGATAAAACTCTTTCTTTATGCTAATCACCGATTTATTGTCGATACCGGCCGAGATTTACGTCGTGATGTCCGGTTGGGCACGGATGTCACGACTCTTTGTAAGTCGTGTTCGGCCGTTTGGTAGCTCTCCAAAGTTGAGGGATTCGAACCGTACCCGGGAGATGTGGCCCCGATACTTTCGAGGGCGGATGTTTTGTTCGATCCCGGATGCAAGAAGTTTTTCGCCCAGACTCTGATTCCTTATGATCACGTTCGAGTCCCGTTTGTCTTATCGAGAAATCAAGATGTTCAACGGGCCCGATTTTATCCGTATACAGTACGCAGATCTTGCCCCTAAGGTGACGAGATGTTAGAGATGTCAATACCACAAGAAAATATCCAATATTTTTAGCTTTCACGTAGCTGAATTTTATATCCTCCATGCATATGTATCTAACTAGTCTAATTTTATAACGTCAATGTTTTCATATATATCGAGTCCAAACCTACCCAACTCTTTATTTATTTATTTTTGTTTTATTCTATTTCCTTTGACATCATCAGATAACTTACCATCCAACCAATATCGTGAACAACCTTGGCTAATGCAATCTTTTTGTCGGCTAGCCTGTTCAGTCAACTGTTTGTAAATCTTTTGTCTCTTTCTTGATTTGTTTGTAGAAGTTGTACGTAGTACTATATTATAAGTTAATTAACTGATGCTACTATATGTCTAACGAAATTAGACCACCAATTAATATGCTGCTCCTTCCTGAATATTTCATAAGGCCTCACGAGCATGAAATTTGTCAAAGGCGAAAAGCATTAGTAAGCGCTCGACCTCTATTTGGGCTTTAGGCACAAAACATAACCAATGTAAGATCTTTAGTTTAAAAAGGTTAAAAAAAAAAAAAAAAAAAAAGGGCAGTCCGGTACACTAAACTCCCGTTATGCGCGAGGTCCGGAGAAGGATCGGACCACAAGAGTATGCAGCCTTACCCTGCATTTATACAGGAGGCTGTTTCCATGGCTTGAACCTGTGACCTCCTGGTCACATGGCATCAACTTTACCAGTTACGCCAAGGCTCCCGTTCATTAAAAAAAAAAGGTGCAATTAAGAACAAAAGAAAAAATATATATGTAACGCAAGGAAAAAGTAATAGCTTCATTCATAATAATTTTCTTAACAAATAATATATGTTTTAGCCAATCATATTTAATGTCTAATACCGTTCTACTCAAGATAGAATTTATGGGTAATGAGACACATACCTTATCTTATGCCTTGCCTACACTGAAGTGCAGCCTAAGTGACGCAAAACGCGTAGCCTGAGCTTCTCTGAGCTTTAGGACTTAAGCGTCAAATGAGCCTTTGATAATAATGGCATGAAATTTTTGTTATCGACTATCTCCATTTTCTGGCAACTGCCTCCGTTTAAAGAGCACTAGATGATTAGGTTGAACATTCTTCAGCTGCAGATTTCAATGGATTCTTGAAACTTGAAATTCGAATATTAGATCAGCATTTCGTACCTTAAATCCTACTCAGGAGTTGTTGAACTCCAAGACCAAGACCACTTATCCTAGTTATTTTACTGGGGAGCAGCAAAAAAACTGTCTTTTCGACATTAATAAACCGAAAGTCCTCCCCCTCCCCAAAGTCCAAACTGACCAAATACTGACATGTAACAACCAATATTAAACAGTGTTAGTTAGGCAAACGTACTGGAATCACAATGTCAAAAAGAGGCGGGGGTTAAATTTATGGGTACCTTTACAATTAGTAATAAGAAGTCTTAGCCTCAATGTTATGCAAAAGAGCCATAATGGGATAACAAATGTTAACAGCAAAAAATATTGATCTTTCCTATATAGTACTGTATTTCCTTTCTTTTCGGAGGGTAAAAGTTCAAAATTTCTCTTAGTATAGCTGATTTAGACACATGATCGCCATATCTTCCCTTGGAAGGAAACAATGATAATTGAGACATCATCATGGTATTGTCGACGATCTCCAGGTGGTATGTCAAGTAACTCATGGAAATTCATGCCTGGAAAATCCGGAAAAAAATTTGTTAGTTGGATGGCTAATAAAAATTACAAAAATATGGTATTTGTAATTACCAGCTTTCTTAGCAGCTCTGAATAACACTTGTTCAACAAGATGTTGAGATGGATCTCCCTCAGGGAATATAGACATGAAGTTTTCAACTTCAGAGACTGCTTCTTCATTGGTGAAATATTGGTAAAGTCCATCAGAAGATAAGATCAAAAATCTATCTCTAGGGCCAAGCTTATGGTGGTAAAGTGATGGTAAACAGTTGATGTAAGGGGAATTTCCAATATAGTCAATTCTGAACATCTCTAGTACTGCATTGTTCCATTTGGGCTGTATAATCACACAAGTCGAAAAGACATCAACACTAGTTCCAAAAAATGTATTTAGTTCAAAAATGCAGTAGCAAAACAGTAACAAGTTACGAGCATAGAAGCAAAACGTGTAACATTATTACCTCTTTGAGATAGCCTGCCCCGAAAGCTCGAGTGACTTTTAGGGAACCTTTCACTCTATCATTTTTCATTACAGAAGCATCACCAGGATGCTCATTTCTAATTCTGAGAACTTCCTGCAATAATTCGTAAAACAAGTCCAAGGATTAGTATATGAAACAGTGGAAAACAACAACAATAACTGTTGAGGTTTTGTTATTTAAGATGAAATAGTCTTAAAATGAGGGTGAATGGGAAATGGAGGAAAAATAAAATTTTTGAGTAAAATTTTAAGTTTCGTCCTCTTGACAATGAGACATTGTCCCATATTGGAAGAGGAAAAGATTTTTGGTGGGTATATATATAATTGCTTTTCTTGTAGCTCTTAAAGAGTTATGAAGAAAGCAAGTCTCGCGCCGTCGTCGTCGTCGCTCGGCTTCGGCTTCGGATTTTTGGACCAAATTTATTTGTTAATAGTAAATATTAACGTAAGATTATCCGCATTTATAACGGATATATTCCAATCCGTGTATTGACCACCAGCTGCAATAGCAGCCCACAAACAAGCTAGTGCATGCTCCACAATGGAGGGTGGAGGGTCGTTCATCTTCTAAGCTGACTGCTATAAATATGTGCAGCAACTGTTGAAGAAAGACACACAACACAAAAACTGAAAACGCTCAACTTTGGCTATACATTGCACTCCTCCCTCTCAGCATTTCCATACGATTTTCTGATTTGTTCTACATTGTTTTAAATTCAAACAAAGCAACTGTAAGTGTGATTTGCTACCGAACTTTGTGTTCGCTGAAACACTGGGGTTTGAAGTACCGCTACACCAGTGTGTGATTCGTTCTATCCTGGGAGGAAATAATCCATAACCTTGGGTACTAGGAGGGGATTAAATTC